CCAACTTCTCTTATCTAGGTGGGTGTACAGAAATTACAATGTGTGAATAAAATTGGGATTGGCTTTGACAGCACAGATTAGTTTTTTACAAATTTTCTTTGGTTATATTTTTCCATACGTTCTCTAAAAATCTGCCTGACGAACATTTTCTGAACAAAACTAAATGTGATAACTTATTTTTTCATGATGATGATGATGATGAGCTTCCTTGGGGGAGGGGAATGTTGCTTTCATTCTAGTAGCCTCTCAAACTAGGCTGGGCAATAGAGCTTTTCAGTCACCAATATCTTCTTCTTGTGAAGAGAGTGGCATGCATCCAATTATCATGAAACCTCATATTCTAAAACTGTGTTTTTATTTATCCAGCTCATGCTGACCTTCCCATCTTACTTGCCTCACTGTTGTTTAGTTTTAAAATGCAACATAAAGTTCATAGAACACAAAACCAGATCAATGACCTTATGGACAATGACTATCTCTTATAACAAGGCCAAGTCAGCAGAGCCTGGCTCACTGAGCCCGTTATCAACCAGGGATGTGCACATCAACCAGTTTCTTAGCTGAGGCTGCACTGCCTGACTTGCATTCAACTATAGCTCAAGGGCTATGTTTTTTAAATTCCACTTTTTTCTTCCCTTTGCAATTTTACTTTCGTAAAAATGTATCTAATGGTTGGTCAATCAGCAGCATATGAAATTTTATGACAGCAATTTTCTGCACATCCAGAAAAAGGCAATCTAAGACATGAAAAATGCCTCTTAAAGCCTTCCTATATTCTCTGTTGCATCCATAGGAATTCAAAACAACACAGGATAACAACCATTAACCATATGTTAATTTCACCTGGAGGAAATATGTTATCATTGTCCAATGAAGTAGAAATGAATCAGGGCTAAGTGGTAAACCAAGAAAATAGCACCCCGTTCCCACTTGGAAAAGGCATTATGTTTGCACTCTTGGTGAGGAAAATTATCTCTATGACCAATGGGTTCCAACAGATTAACGAAAACACACTGACTAGCTAAGTAAGGGTCCATTGTAAAGATATGAAGATGTCATTATGATGCTCTGAGACAGAAAAATTAAAATCATATCCTTAAAAATGAATGATTTTTAAGACATGTAATATGCTATCATTTTCCTTCACACCCGATTCAAACTAATCAGACGGCAGCAAACATCAGGAATGTGTCACACTAGACTACACATATTATGCTTCACACGTGTTGTGAGAATGCCTTGAGATTGTAACATATTAATTTTAAATAGTTACATGGAAAGACTAAGGCACAGAACTTTTGTGCTATAACTCTAATCAGTACAGAACAATGCTCACAGCCTTTGTGAGTCTGCGTACATTTACACTGCATGCAATCTGGGCGGTGATGTGTGTGGACCAGCTGAGTTACAGCTACAATCACATCATCCAATTTCTACTGCCTCTGTATTCCATTTCAACAGAACTGTGAAAATGTAACTACTGCAATGTCAATATTTAGAAATGATCCGAAAGAGGTAGTGCATAGTGAAATCTTCAATATGACCATAAAACTAATGTTGCATCCACATAAAAATGTTCCTATTCACCAAAAGGAAGAACAATGGTCACTAACTTTTCAGAACAATTCACTTTAATTTAATTTAACAAACATATACTGAGCACTGGCTACTTGCCTACCAGATGCCTGAGATACAAAAACGAATAATGTAAGATCTCTGCCCTTCATGGACTTTAGAGCAAGGAAAATAGACATAATACACATAACACAATTATATTACAATACTATAATCTAGCTAACACAGGTGCTGTGAACACAGAAGGGTGGAAAATTAATTCTCTCAAATTTATATATGTGCAAATATTTCTGGCTAAATATTCCTATTTCATCTTATTATTTTATTTTTCTTTCAATGTTACTATTTTGCATGGATTTTTGTATGCTGCCTTAAATTATCTACGGAGCATGGTGAAGAATATACATAATAAGTGTAGTAATTCTGCTGGGGTGAGGTAGGAGTTAAGGAGATAGAAAGGGTTAATAGATGAATTAAGAGACCTGGTGGTACTATAGTATACGCATTGGGCTGCTAAAGACAAGGTTGATGGTTCAAATCCACTAGTCACTCTGCAGGAGAAAGGCATGACTGTAAAG